CTCTGGCTGTGCGTGACCCGCAGAACTAGTCCTCAGCCCTCTTGGCGTCTTGGGTAAACCCCACCACAGCGCCGGAAGGAGACAGAAGCCAGGGCCCGCCTCTCTTTCACAGCTGTTAGGACAGCGCCCCTCCAGGAAGGGCAGTAAGACGTGCAGAGTCCCTACTATGTGCCGGGCAGTGCCGAGGGGGCCGTGCACGCTGATATATGGATTCTCACCGTAGGCGAGGAGGCGGCTGCCAGGGCTCCGCTCTGCAGAGGTTAGTGACCTCGCTCAGCAGTACCCCGTAATTAAGGACAGGAGCCTGGATTCACACCCAGCCCTGCCTGCCCCCAAAGCCCTTTCTGGGGACGTCTCAGCCCTTTGTGTTTTTTCCCTTAGGCTTTGATGCTGGGGGAATGGCCTCAGAAATGCTCTCCCTGTGGGCATGGGGGAACCATTAGTTTTTGTGTTTTTTACGGTTTAAAGGACATTTTATTTCAATTAGAGTTTGTGTCATGAAAACAGCTGGCATATTTTCCTTGGACAGTTAAGGGTGAATGCCGAACTGTAAATGCATAGACGTATACAGTTTGTCTATTTAGAAATAATAAGTAGCTGGCATGCTGAGGTGTGATACTGTGTTCAGACATAGGTGTTCTTGTCCATGTCAGTGCATGAAGCCTGCCATGCCGGCCTGCAGAGGCTTTTATGTAATAACCTGTGCCTTACCACTTCGCTCACACCCACAGCCACTCGTTTCACGTGGGACAGAAAGAGGGTTGTATGTTGTTTCCAGGGAAGGGCAGAAAACAGGAAAGAACCATTCATCACACATCTCAAAGCCTGCCCAAGAGAGGGGTGCTGTGGCTGATCCCATCACGGGCTCCTGCTGCAAGGGCTATGGCACCCCACAACTTGGTGGACCAGGTTCTCCTTTGAGTCACCCTGGAATTTTCTGTCATTTTGTTGTCCCGGCTGTTAGGCAGTTGTGTTCTAATGTTCTGAGGCAAGTTCCTTCATCTGGTGCGACTCTGAAATCTGAGAGGTCTTGAATGGCGTCTTCCACCCACGCTGCCTCAGTGCACCTGCCCCGAGAGGCTGCCTCTTTGGCTGGGGGTGACACGCTGGCTGGTGGCACGAAACCCTGAGTGTTTGTGATGTGTGGGCCACTGTCCCACGGCCTCAGAGTCCACTTCTGCCTGTGGCCTTCTGGGAGGGCGCCGGGGAGACGAGACAGGCTGGTTTTGATGGCTTTCTGGAGTGAGTGGTATTTCAGATTGAGAACATCTAATGGCAGGTCTGTCCAGGGAAGTGTGAAAGATGGTGGCAGCTCAGATAAACTGGACAGGGCAGCAGGACTGGCCCCCTGGATATGCAGGACTACACCCCTTGGGCACCCTCAGTGATGGGCTTTGGTCTGCTGCCAGGTTCTGGAAGAGTCAATGAGCTCTTTCCTCCAGTTGTGAGTGTGCTGGTTGCCTGGACAGCAGATGGACATCGCCCCGCTGGGGAGGGACAGACGACGAACGTGATTGCTGTAGTGGAAGCTTCCAAGTGCCAGCTGCTGCCTGGGGCCATAGTCCCCAGGGGGACTCAGGGACTCGGCAGGAGGCCTCCGGGAGAGTCTGCATCTGGGGACGACAGCGCTGCAGGGACCGTGCTTGACACCAGTGCTCCCCGCGGGCCGCAGGCTTGGGAGGACATTGGGCAGGAGCAAGCAGAGAGGTGATCCCGGATCGCGGGAACCCAGAGATCTTTCCTCTTGGGAGACTTCCTAAATATCACACAGAGAGAGAGGAAACAACAGGCTCGGTTTGCGTCCGAGGATAATGACACTTACTCAGGTTGCCTCCCTTGTACTTTTCCACTGATGCAGAAAAGGACGCTTTGCCAAAGAATGTCCTTGGAGTGGCTCGATGTATTTTTCCTTCTGTTATTTAAGTCAAATGTATTTAATGTAAAGCAGCTCGGCTGTGAACTGGAATGTGTGCTGAGTCTTTGAGCCCTGGGTGGGGACCCACAGAGTGGCCATTTCCACCAGGTGCGTCAGTTTTGACAGTCATTTGCAGCGAGGCTTGTAACAAGGTCCACACACCAGAATGGTCTTGTCAGCACGTTGGCCGGGAAGAACCCATCTGGGAGCTGAGAGGCATGAATGTGTTTTATTCATTGTACGTTCATCCGCCCACACCCGCCCACCCAGCCATCCCTCCACCCACTCATGAACCCGTTTGTTCATCCGTCCATCCGTCTAGTCATCCACCCACCCGGCCTCCTAGCCATGCCTTTGCCAAACAGTTATTGGACATTTACTGTGGACGCAACGTCATTCCAGGAATGTTTTGAGGGTATAAAGAGGGGCTGCATTTCTCTCAAAACTCCAGGGACACACCTATATAATACATATCACATGTATGATAAATATAATACATACATGTCATATATCATATAAGTTATACACACATATGGATGCTGACCATTCATTCACTGAGTTAAAGGTTAAAATTTCGCTTTTTGGAAGAATAACAATAGGAATATGGTATAACGGACTTCTGTGGCTCAGTAAAAGTGGTGTAGTATAAAAGCATGAACTTTAAAGATTTTTGTTTCTAGGCTGCGTGTTTCGCACGCGCCTGTGAGGGTGTACACACACGCGTGGGCACATGTAAGCCCTGCGTGCCCTCTGAGCCACCGTCTGGTTTCTTTCCCCAGGGTTTTGTGGCCACGTCGTGTGTCTGTAAGTTGCGCAAACACAGAGACCTGGGAACTGGATTTCTCCAAGGTTCTCTCACAGTTCCTCTCCTCCTTGGGTCTCCTCACACTTCATTCTCCCCCAGGCAGGAAAAAGAGCACAAATTCCTAAAGTCGCGTTGTTCCCAGGGTACAATTGCCATCCATCACTCCCCGCGGAAAAATGTAAATATTTCCTGGCTGATAGTGGCCTTATTTATTATCATAGGCTGGATATGGATTTGAGCGAGGGCGGCCGGTGGCCAAGCATTATTCCTGGGCTTCCCTGGGACGCTTGGCTGGTGGGCAGAGCCGGGTGGAAGAAAGGTGAAGGGCGGAGGCAGGAGTTCCTGGCGCTCGGGGCAGGGTTGGGGCTTTGCCACCGAGGCTGAGCTTCGCCGCCTTGCGACCTGCTTCTAGGAGTCTGTGCACATCGGAAAGACGGAAGGCTGCTTCCACGCCGTGCCCAGATACCCGGTCATCTGGGGGAGGGCGGGGGTCCCTCAGTGTCATCTGCCGCAGGTGGATGGTGCATTGTCATGGTGTCAGGTGACGCCCAGGGACCATTCCTTACCTGGCAGAATGTTTCAGTGTTTGACGAAAGAATGTTTTAATCAGGCTCTGCTCCCTGCAGACAAAGCCCCATGCTACCCAAGCCCTGGTCCTCGAGGACCTCATGCTTTGGGACCCTAGATGCCCCCACCCCGTCACAGTCTGCCATCTGCAGCGTCCGAGGCAGACATTTTCCAGATGGGGCAGGAAAAGGCCGCAAAAGCTTAGCCCTTTCTCCTCTGCCCGGTCTGCCGGCTCCTCCCAAACCTGCTTGGTCCTGGCGAGGTGACGGCTGCCCAGTGGGGTGTCTGGCCTTGGCTTGGTGTGTGGTCACTCTTCACTGCACTTTCCTTGTGGAGAAATGGGCCTCATGAGCCTGTCCCGGGGCGATCCCGAGAATAAATACAGTGACGGGAGGTGTGGGGCACCCGGCACAGGCTCAGGGAGCTGCAGCTTTTAACACTGTCTGCAACTACACGATGGTGCGCACCAGACATGGGTGGCGGGCAAGCCCTGACGGCAGGAGTGAGGGGCCAGGAGGACACGTCGGTGATGCATGTGACAGGGGCGAGTCGGACCAGGCATGTGCAGGACACGCCGGGGTCCTTGTGTGGTCCTGGACGAGCGACAAGGGCGGGGAGTGGTGGCAGGAGAGCCCAGCTGAGTGCTGCCCTTGGAGCGCGCCGCGGGGAGGGGAAGACGGTTCATTCAGTTGAAACAAACAGCTTTGCTGCTCGCGACGCACCCTGACCGTCTCGAGAATGTGACCTTGGGTACAGCTTGGTCTCTGGCTTTGAGCTCTTGGGGAAGGAGAAGGGGCGGGCTCGGGCACAGGCGCCTACGTGGCATCAGAGACGGCGCGGGGCGTGGGGCCTGCGGGCGATGCGGCGGTGGCGACGGGCCTGGGAACTCTGGAGTGGAGAGAAGGTCGGGGCTCCGGGAAGCTTCGTGAAGAGGCAGGAACCGCAGGCTGAAAGGTCTTCACGGACAGGTACAAGGTTCCGACGGCAAGGACTCTCCTTTGTCCTCTGCGTGTTGCCTGTGATGTTTGTCGCGCCCTGGGCGTACGGCAGGCGCGCAGCAGGCCCTTGTCCAGCACTTGGTACAGAACGTGCGGGTGTCGGGCAGGGCACAGCATTGCCGGGTGCTGGGCTCTGCCGCCGTGACTGCTCTCAGAGAAGGTGGTGAGGGTGGCGGGAGAGGATCCTTCTGACGTGGTTCTCTTTTCAGCCACTTCCCTTTGTAGCTTTTTGGGGAGCAGGCAAGCTTTTCCCCTCCAATGAAAGGTCAGTGTCTCCTGGTGGCACCCCTTGGGGAGGTTCTTCTTTTTCCTTTTTTTTTAAAGGTTTATTTTATTTATACAAGAACCGGGGTACAGGCCAGATGCACGGAAGGGTGAGAGGATTCACCAGAGACAGAGCGGGGAACGGAACAGGCAGACTGATGAAATACACTGCTGAGGGCAGCAGCGGGCAGCAGGAGAGGTCTGTGCGCCATGTGGGTTGCTCCGAGGCTGGCGGGGATGGAACCGGCGCTGCAGAGGCTGCGGACAGCTTCACAGCGTGGCGCTTAACCGCCTGCGCCACCAAGGGAGGCCCCTCTTCGTTCTCCTTAATGTAACCCAGGGACATTATCAACTGCCTCCCAGCCAGGCAAGCAAGCAGCTGACTCCGCTGGTGGCTCCAGGGCTCTGGATAGATGTAGATGACATTCTTTGGCGTATGTCTGTCTTACAGATGTGGACGAGTGTGCAACAGATTCTCACCAGTGCAACCCTACCCAGATTTGCATCAACACTGAAGGAGGATACACCTGCTCCTGCACTGATGGATACTGGCTTCTGGAAGGCCAGTGCTTAGGTGAGAACTCCCTGGGGCTCACAGAGACTCTCGGAAATGAGTGGTTACAGGAGGTATCATGAAATGTGGGCCCCGCCGGGAGGCCTAAAGGCAGAGGGCTTCCCTTTGGGGGGTTGAGGGGCAGGCAGAAGGCTACTGAGCTTATATGTAGCAACACTCTCTAAAATCAGCTGTTACCATCACGTCATGTCATCGTCAGAGTTCTTGACTGACATTTTTAAGGGCTCATGTTTGATATGCCTAGACCTTCTTCCTACCTTTAGGAAGTTTATATCCAAGGCAGGAAGTGATGTGGGCGAGTGGTCTCTGTCCTCGTTAGACGTCATACTAAGAGAAGGGAACCCTTGCTTAGTCGCAGCAGAGTTCCAAGTCTCAAGTGTGGACCAGGAGATTCTGAGGGACAGTCACCTCCCCCGGTACCCCATTGTAGTCCTCTCGCCACCCGCCCTCCCCTAACCCCCGCCCAGCTGTGGTCTTTTCCCTCCTAAGGAATCAGTCAGAGCCAGTTGAGAATTTTGTCCCTGGCAGTGGGCATTGGTGATATGATCGTTCTGTTTGTTTTTACTGGAGGGTATTTTCCTTTCTTCCCCGCTAGTTTTTGCTTTAGCCAAGTGAATGAATTCATAGCAATCTCTAGCTGTCACTTCAATTTCTATTTCTAAGGTGTGATTTCTATGCTGTGTTTTCTTGGAAAAGCTCTGCTAGTTTAAATTCTCTAAGACGCTACTCTGTTGCTGGAAAGTCAGTCTGGGAAAACTGAGAAACAAATCCAAACAACATCATGGCAGGGAAAAAAGGGGTTCTTTTTTCCAAGTCTCTCTTGATTGGGACCGAGTTGAAGTCCGCTGTCGAGCCCTGTCCGCAGCATCCTCCAGGCCCGATAAGCCAGCTGAGACTTGGCTGGGTTCTCCCTTCCAGGCATGCACCCGAGAGCTGGCTGCGCATGCGCCTGTGTGACCATGACGTCCGTGTGCATTTTAACCAACCTCAGCTATTATGGAAAATTTGATGCCACTGATTTGAACATAAGCAGATCAGTGTGAGGGAGTTATTTGTGCAGGAACTTAATATGTAGCATTTCAGGGCTGGAAGGGATGTCAGATATTATGTCATCCAACTTTTATAGAGCTGGGAACTGAGACTCACAGAGGAGGGACATTTTGGACAGAGTGTGTTGGGGTCTAGTGTCTGTCTACTGTTTCCCAGTCCAGTTTCTCCTCCAGGGCATGCTAGAGACGGGGGTGCTGGAGAGGCTCAGGTGCCTGGAACTCTCAGGCTCCATGGTATAGATCCCACCCCGCCAGTCAGAAGGTGCCCAGGTGGGGAGGTGGAGGGGGTAGTATTGACTCCCACAGGTTGAAGCTTTTGGAGGGAGGCCCCCTGTGGCACGCTCCTCACTTACCCTAAAGGAAGAACTTTCCCAGTTGCAGCTGAACTTGTGCCACCCACTGGCCAAAGTCGTCTTTCTCTTTCAAAATGCAAGTTCCACAGCCATCCACCACCCCCTCTCTGCACCTTTGGAAAGGCTGCTTTTGCAGAAAAATCAGGGCCTGGGGGGTTGCCTTTACTCCAAGGCGCCTCTGCACAGCGGGTGCCCTCTTTTTCCTCTCCTGTTTCCTGGAGAGAGGGGAGGCCCAGCCACAGCACAAGCAGGCAGTGGGGTGGGCCCAGCTGGAAGTAGCTGCGCCTCAGAGATAAAATGGAATCACAAGGGCCGGCATGCAGCCTGGGTGGAGGGCGGGCCACTGGGTGAGGTGGAGGTGGGGGTCCCTTCTGGCAGCAGGTGGTAGATACTCGGAGCAGGGTCAGAGTTTGAAGCTGGGTTCCAGAGTCTGGATGGATCCTGGTTTCAAAGGAACAGGGATAGCAGGTAGCGGGTGTGGCTGGTTTAGGGGAGGTGGGGCTGAGACAAGGACCAGGTACTCAGGCAGCTCTCCTGTTCCCAGCAGGCTTCATTCAGACCTCTGACCCCACAGGAGGCAATTCCTTAGCCTGCCAGCCCATGACTTGGGGACTGGGAAGTGCTTTCCAGTGAGACCAGGCTCCCTACTGACTGGTGCATGTTATCAGGGAGACTGTCTTGCCGGGTTCTGGATCCGTTCATGCACAGAGCTGACGCTTGCTCTGGGAAGGCCAGCCATGGCTCGGAAGAGGGGTGTGTATCCAGAGTTTTATGGTCTAGGAGGGGTCTGAGGCAAACTTCCGTGTCCTTGTGTTACTGGACCCACAGGACTCTGTGCACTGCCCAGACACCCTGACCTGCACTCGCTCTGTCTGACAGCTGGACACTGTTACTAGAGCTGGCCAGCAGCCTCATGGACCGTGTTATGGACTCTCATATTTTCAGCTAATTGTCCCATTTCAGGGCCAGGTAACATTATCATCAAATCTTAAAGCTGGATAAATTTTAGCTTTGATTCAAATCTTAAGCGGCCACCTTGTCCACCTTTCCATTCTACGTGGAAATTTCTCTACCACTTTCAAGACTGGCTCAGGTGTTTGTGGGGCTGAGATGTGTTGGGGATGGTGACAGGGAGGCCGAGGCTGGGAATCCAGAGGCCGTCACCCTCCCTGACACTTAGAGCAGCAGATCCTCGAATGACATCACGTAGGGCCCTTTCCTTTTAATGTTGATAAGAAAGAATCCTGGCTAACTTTGAACAAAAACGACGTTATTTACTCACAGGCCCAGTTTCATCACGCCTCGTTCCTCTTTAAGTCACAGTTTGATGTTCATGAGAACTTACTGCCCTGCCGCAGCGCCCTGCATGTGTCTGCGCCGTCCCAGGACAGAGACTGGGCGGTGCTGCTGCGGGGGCCGCCTCGGTGAGGCAGAGGATCTCTTACCTTGCTGGCGTTTCTGTTCCCAGACATTGATGAATGTCGCTATGGCTACTGCCAGCAGCTGTGTGCGAACGTTCCTGGATCCTATTCCTGTACATGCAACCCTGGCTTTACCCTCAACGAGGATGGAAGGTCTTGCCAAGGTACGTGGTGTGGATGAAAACTCGAACATGATGTGAAAACGCTGGCTGTTGTCTTCGAGTCTGATGGCGTGTGTTGGCGGGAAGTGCTGCTGTTCCAGTGTATTCCCACTCGTGGTTCCCGCCCCCGCCCATGCCCTGAGATCGAAGGGGTGTGAAACATGCCAGAGGTGCTGCTGAGATTAGACCCGCAGCCCTCGGCCACTGGGGGCCTATGGCCTCATGGATTTGCGTCTCTGTGCACCCAGAGGTAGCCTTGGCGACACTCCTGCTCATCAGAAATGGTCTCACATGTCCTGTAACATAAGTTCAATTCCTGAGGCTCAAAGAGGGCCATCAGAGAGGGCTCTGGCCCTGGGTGAGCTGTGAAATAGCCCCCTACTCAAGGCCAGGGTCTCATGGGCAGTTGTGATGTCCCACCTGTGCCAGGAGGCCTGAGACCTAGCAGAGTCAGCTGCCACTCAGCACCCCCCCCTCCAAGAACAATGGCCTTTTCTGCTATCCACGTGAACACTTCAGTACTGATAAGTTAGAAAAACAGGCTGCGTCTCTGTGCCGTTTCCATCGGAAGATTTCTTCTGCTCAGGAAGTGATGGGGGACTTAAGACCCAAGGAATTAGTGCAAGTCCCTCCCGGCCCCTGGCTCCCGGCCGCAGCCCCCCGCTGGGGCCTCCAGCCCCTGGCAGCTGCTCAGCCCAGGGTGGAGGCAGTGGCGGGGCTCAGAATGAGGTCTTTGTCTGGAGCCCGCCACCCGGCTTTGTAGGGCCCATTTCCTTGTCACACCATTTGAGGTCTGGCTGGCAGCCTCTTGGCCGGCTTCTTTGGAGGATATTATGTCTCCATTAGTTTAATCGTATGGAAATCATTGGGTAAACAGGAAGGCATCAGCGTTGAAGAGTTTGATCCTGGATTCTTTGTAAGACTCTCCTCCTCTACTGATTGTTCCAAGAAGTCTCAGCTTGCTCCCCTGGCCAGCAGAGGTCATTTTCCTCGCCCCTGCAGCGGGGAGTGGGCGCCTGGCCCTCTTGCTGCTGAGATAAGCAGCTTGGGGCAGATCCAGGCTTCTCTGAGGCTAGGTTTGGAGGTGCAAGCCCCGGTTTGCTCTGAGGCTGGAGCACCTACAGCCTCCCAAGGAGTGGCCTTGAGCAGCAGGGCTGAAAGACCGCTGTGTCCTTCAGACCTCTTGGGGCCGGGACAGGCAGTGCCAATTCCAGATAAAGCAGCAGCCAGCGCAGGGCCTGGCCGCAGGCACTGGGCCACTGGGATATTGCATCAGCTGGGCCCACAGGCAACACGGATGTCACCTATTCTATGGCGCTTTTGTGACCTAACAGCTCATTCAAGGAAGAGCACGTCACACTCCTCAGAGCATTGCACAGCTGTTAAACTCACTGAACCCCAACTGTAGCTTTAGGAGGCAGGCAGGGCAGGTGTGGCCCTGCTTCACAGATGAGGAACTCAGGGATCACAAAGGTAAAGCAGCTCGGCCGAAGCCACGCAGCCAGATGGTGGCTGATCGGGGGTAGAAACGAACGTCCTGACTTCCTGTCCAGCAAGTCTGTGTGGGCTGCGCCTGTGCCCATGGGATGCAGAGGGCAGGGCCTGCGTGGATCCAGGGCTGGCAAGGAAGCGCAGGGCCAGCTGCAGGGGCAGAGTCCTCTGGATCCTGCTGCTCTGCAGAAACAGCTGAGAACAGAGAGGGCGGGACACGAGCTCATTCATGTTGATGTGGCCAGCGTCTCGCCGGAAGCTGAGGACGCCAGCCCAAATACCTACTGATACTCACCCTGCATGAGCTCATACTCAGTGGCCTGGCCCTTGGCGTTTTCCTGGCATCCCCAGAGGAAACCAGCATCCCTCCACGGACCTCCTGCATGAGCATTGTTTCTTCCCTCTGAAAGCTCCTGAGATGTCAGGGAGCAGGACCTGTTGAGGCCTGAGTTCAGCCTTCCCCTCTAAGGAAAACTCCTCAAGCTGCTTACTGTAAAGGCTTTCAAGGTTGAAAACACCCACATCTCTATTCAGAGGCTTAAGCACCTTATCTGGACCTTTGAAGGGGATAGAAATCCTCTCAGCAGGAACTTGGGTCATTGCCACGTGGGGCCTGGGAAGGGGAGCTGCCAGGGGTCCACCAATGCCATGTGGAGATGGGCTCCTTCCTTCCCCCTCTGCACCACATGGGCTGTGTGGAATAAATCGGGTGTTGTGGACAGACCTTGACTCATGTTCCAGTTCCAGCGGTGCCCTTGTTGGCTTGTTGGGCACGTGCCTCCTCTTCCTTGATGTTTTACGGACATGCAGTGAGCTGCACCATTGAAGGCACGTGGTTCATGAACTCAGGCAAGCATAGGCCTGCATGAAACCATCCCCACACTCCAGAGTGAATGTCCCATTGCTCCCAAAAGCCTCCCATGCCCCTCCGTGGTCTCTCCTTCCCCTCCTGAGCTTGTACAGGGGCCGTGCCTGTGGGAGCCTTCTGCCATCAGCGACGTGGTTCATGCATAATTGTCTTAGCTCCAGCGGCCATGACAGAGTAGCACAGCCTGGGTGACTTAAGCATCAGGAGTTTTTCTCACAGCTCCAGAGGCTAGGGGTCCAAGAGCAAGGCGCCAGCACAGTCGGGTGCTTGTGAGGGCTCCTGGTGTGCTGGCGGCTGCTTTCTCACTGTGTCTCACATGGCAAAGGGTGATCAGCTCTCTGGTGACTCTGCTTATGTGGGCACTAATCCTGTCACGAGGGCCCCACCCTTATTTAACTTAATTACTTATTTACCTAGTTACTCACTTCACTACTTCCCAACAGTTTATCTCCAAATATCATCACAGTTGGGTTCAGGGTTGTCAACATAACATATGATTTTTTTTTTTTTTTTTTTTGGTGGCGCACACAGTTTGGTCATTGCAGTAATAAATAGAAGCATTACCGGAATTGTCATGATCTGTTTCTGAAACTTCAAAGTCAGCCAGCTCGCTGATGGAATGTAGCAGGTGATAGGAGGTAGCTGTTGTATAAGAAATTGCTATTGGTGAGCCTGGGGGAGTGTCTATGTTTACACCTGTCAGTGGTGTGTGGACACATTGCTTCCATCCTTCCCAATTTGCAACCCCAGAATGGAAGTGGAGATGGAGTCTAGTTCCTCAGGGAACACTGGAGTGTGAGCTCTTAATCCCCTAGGTGCTGGGTGGAGATCCTTGGTCCCTTGATTCTGGTCGCCTGCTGGTGGTTCTGTCATTGCTGGTGCAGTTTTCTGCGTACTGGGGACGCGCTGTTTTGGGAATGGTCAGTGATGTACTTTGGGTTTTTCACAGACGTGAACGAATGTGCCACTGAGAACCCCTGTGTGCAAACCTGTGTCAACACCTACGGCTCTTTCATCTGCCGCTGTGACCCAGGATACGAACTGGAGGATGACGGTGTTCGCTGCAGCGGTAATGGACTGTTAGACACCGGGCGCTGCCATCTGTGCTGGGGGTCGGGGGTGGGGCGGAGGACGAGGGCAGCCTTCACAGGTGTTTCCTCTCGTTTCCCGGACACAACTCTGGTTTGGGATGGTTCCCAGTACCCTGGGGTCACAACCACACAAAACAGAGATGAGTCACTTCCTGAACGTGGAGTCCCTTCCTTGGCATTTGACCTCTATTGCTACCCACTGGGGTCTCAGAGGAGGTGGGAGAGGGGACGGAGTCACCTAGTTCTGCACGTTGGCTTGAGTTGTTTGCCCTTGCCTGGCGCTGACTCAAATCCTGGGGCTTACAGGTGGTGGTGCTTACAGCGGGCCGAAGCCCACGAAGCGTGGCACATGTCACGGGGTAGGATGAGCGAATGAGGTCATGGATATAAGCAGATGCACCTTGTGAACTTTTGCAATCTTTGCAATCAGTACCTAGTGAGCGTGCAATAAATAGCTCCTGAATCGATGAGTGAATGATTGAATATTGAATGAAATCTCAGTCATTTGCTGTGACAACATAGATGGGGCGACTTAGATGGCCTCCTCGAAGTTCCTCCCAGGCCCAGGAACATATTGATCCTCTGCCCACGCTATCATAAGCCCCATGATAACAGGCACAGCATGTTAATCATTTATTCCTGGAGCATCCTGCACTGAGCCTTCTTTTCCTTTTTTCCTTGTTTTTTGTTAAATGTTGAATTAAACTATCTCTTCCACCCACTTTTGGCATCCCCAGCAACTGTACATGGTCTGAATTACTGAGGCTTTGCTCCCCGTATTTTTCAAAATCAGCGGCCCCTGCTCTAGGGCATGTTCTGCAGAACGCAACATTTTCTAATCCTGGGGTCACTGTAACGGGAACCGTCCCAGGCCATGAGGGAGACTTGTGTGATAGTTTCACTCCTGACTGGAGCGCTCCAGGGAAAGGCTTTGAAAGAGAGCAGCACAAACCCGTCTCCCAGGGCTGGGGACGCCCGCGCCACCACGGGCGGTTACAGAGAGCCTTGGCAGATGAAATGTCAGCCCCACAAACAGTCATGTAAGATACCCTCGGACCTGAAAAACTACTTTCTTCCTAGATTTCAGGCCCCCTGCTCCCCTCCCACCCCCCAACATGGCCCTCCTCAGGGAATCTAGGCCAAGGAACTAGGAGTTAGAAAGTGGAACGTGAATTTTTCCAGAATTCCCAGTACACCCATAGATATTTATTGACCATCTGCAGGGCGGTGCGCTAGAGAGGATCTGGAGTCAGACAGAACGGAATTCCAATTCTGGCTCAACTTTAGCGCTTTCCTTGACCAAGTCTTGAATGCTTCCTCATTGGTTAACAAAACAGCCCTCTTAGCATGGCCGCAAAGGTGAGACAAGCTGGTGTATGTAATTGGCGCTGCGTCTTCATTTCCTTTCCCTAAGTGTGAGTTTTAGACACTTTTAGCTTTTCAAGTTCACATCCTCCATGGTTTGGCAAGGATTTTCAGTTGACTCTTTATCCCCAATGCCAGCTTCTCCTCCACCTTCGCATGATGCCCACGTTTTTCATGCTTAGCTGCTTTGGGCCTTAGGGCTGGGCCAGGACAGTGTGGACACAGGGAGAGCTTGTTTGCTGTCTTTCTGTTCTACCTTCTCTCCCCTTTCTCTGCTGCCCACTGTCCCCAGGAACTCTGCTCTCACTGTGTCATCAAGGCTGGTGTGACCCCCTCCAAGCAGCACCAGACCCTGGTCCCCTGTCCTTGGGGATTTGCTAAGCTGAGCTGATCCTGGAAACCATGGCGGGTTCTCACCTGGAAGAGTGAGCCTGTTCCGTGTGCTGCCTGCCAGGAACTGGGATTGTCTGTCAGCTGTTTGGTGGCAGATGGATCCAAAGCTCCAGCAACCACTGGGGATTATGACCATCAGATAAACGGGGTGGGTTAGGGCCCCTCTCTGTCCAGTGGGAGGTGGAAGTGGGTGCTTCCCTCTTTATCTGCACTGGAGCTAACCCATCCCCGGGGGTTCTCCCACACCCACCCATGCTAACTCCCAGGCATGATTTCTCAGGGAGCCCTTCGCTGTGGCACTGGAGCATAGGCGCTGGAGAGTGGCTGGTTGGGTTCACGTGTCAAGTTTACAGCTTACTTGTTCTCTGTGAACTCAGGCAAGCTGCCTGACCTGTAGGCCTCCATTTCTCCTCTGGAAAATGTGCAGAGTAATTGCACCTGCTTCACAGGGCCGAGGTGAGGATTACATAAGATGAGGCAGGAAAAAGCATTGAATCCCATGCTTGGTATATAGTGACCTCAGGATCTGACATGTTGTGCTACTGCTTCTACTACAGGTATGAACAGAATCTACAAACTAAACAAATAAACGAGAACGCTCTGTTATGATCTGGGGCGCCACCAGGGTCCCCCGGGAGTGGGTGTAGACAGCATGACAGAAGCAGGTCTTCCTGAACTGCGCCTGCTGTAACTTTTCACATCAGCCTCCAGGTTCTGCTGGCTCCCACCCCATTGCCTGAAGACCCCTGGGAGGGGTGGAATGGAGTTTTTTCAGGGTGGAATGGAGGCCCTGGGCACATAACACCCAGAAGCAACTGGGCTGATCTGATGGAGAAGCTGCCTCACTGGCATGGCACCCTATCTGTGATCCCAGCCACCGTGGTGTGTGCGTTAGAGAGTAATCCGAGGACATGTCACACGGGAAAACTAGTGAAAGCAAATTTTTCTGGAAACAACAAATGAAAGAAAAACATGTTTTCTTTGGCGAGCTTGTTGAATGAGACTCAAACTCGGGTCCCTTGCCAAACCCTTTGTGTGACATAGAGTTGACTCGTCTGGAATCACTGCTTCTGCATCAGCTGCCATAGCCTGTGTGTTTAATGGACCCCTGCACCCCTCACATCCTCACCTCTGCAGGGGAGGAGTGACCCAGCTCTGGGCTCCCATGTCCACAGAGGGACCATGTGCGTCTGCCCCATTCCTTTCCTAGTTTTTGCTTTCACGGAATGAAGTACAGTTGACAGCCCTGGCTTGTATAGATATGCCTTTTCATTGTGCTTTTAGGATTAATATTATTTCTCAGTTTGGTGGCAATCAAAGGACTGTTGGTACGGCTAACGTTGCCCATTTGAAAGACAGGCCAATGAATTCTTTTTGGGGGTCTTGGGGAAGAACTCTGCACCCAGAGAACTCCAGCAGGTAAACAGATCTCATGTCCACAGGTGAAGGGTGGCTTCACCCTCAGGGCGGAATGAGTCAGCAGATGATGTAGGTGAGCCAGAGGCAAAGAGGTAGAAGCTCAGCAGAGACATATTTCCGCTCCAGATAGGAAAGAATTTTCTAACAATTAGAACTGTTCACGTATGGATGGGCTTCCGCAGTAGGTAGTGAAAGCCCCATCACCAGAAGTGTCCAAGATGGAAACTGGCAATAAGGCTGTCTTCTGAGTTAGGAGAGTGATGTGGGAGTTGGAATAGACCATCACTTATCTCACCCCCCAGCTAGTTGGAGACTGTAAACAGCAGGTGTAACTTGTTGCCTCCAGATATGGACGAATGCAGCTTCTCTGAGTTCCTCTGCCAACATGAGTGTGTGAACCAGCCTGGCACATACTTCTGCTCCTGCCCTCCTGGCTACATCCTGCTGGAGGACAACCGAAGCTGTCAGGGTAAGGCTGTCCAGAGGCCTGGTGAGGGGAAGTTTGTGGTGGGGTTGGCTCAGGGGGTGCCTTGGATGTCTTCACCCGGGGAATCCTGTGTGGTTTTGGGAGGGTGTCGAGGTGAGGGTGCTGCTGGCTTCCAGAATGGCAGACACTGGGCAGATGCCCAGGCTGGTGCCTTCCTGCCCTGCCATTCATTCCCTGGCCCCAGAAATGATGTGGCTACATTCACTTCTGTAATGAACACCACAGATACAAGTGGTAGCCTCTACGGGCTGGTCCTGCCTCCCAGACAGATCACGGTGGTCTGTGCTGTCCATGGACCAGGGCCCTTGGAGGGCAGCCTGGGCAACTTTTCTTTACTGACTTCCTGGAGAAGGGATGCCAGGGAGACATCACACATTGGACTGCTTGTCCCTCGAAGGGTCAGGAAGGACGCCAGCATGGGTCTTGTTCCTACTGGCCACTTGGCCTAATTTCCAGCCCATGCTTCACTCCCTGGGGTCAGTGTGGGAAGACTGGCTGCTGAGCATCTAATCCGTTTTCAGATCCTTAAACCTGCCTTATCCCAACTCCAAGCAAGAATTCCCCATAGCAGTGCTGGGCAGTGGAGATAGAATGCAAATTACAAATGTGAGCCACACATAAGTACTTTTGAATTTTCTAGTAGTCATGTTAAAAGGAAAAAAGGAAGCAGGTAGAATGATTTAAGAATATATTTCATTTAATGCAACATACCCAAAGGACCATCATGCCAGCATGTGCTCCATGGCAAATGATTGAAGAACTAGTTTCCTTTTTGTGCTAAGTTGTTGAAATCTGGAATATATTCCCCACTCACGCATCTCACTTTGGACGAGCCACGTTTCAGATGCTCAGTGGCCACAAGTGGCCCACGGCTGCCGCTTTGTGAGTACAGCAGTGTAGAAGGACCCAGGTAGCCTGCTCCCGCCCCGGCCCCTGCCTGGGGGCCACCTCCGTGGGATCGCTGCCCTGACTCAGCCCTCTTGACCTGCATTCCAGACATCGATGAGTGTGAGCACAGAAACCACACGTGCAACCTGCAGCAGACTTGCTACAACCTGCAAGGGGGCTTCAAATGCATCGACCCCATCCGCTGCGAGGAGCCTTATCTGCGCATCAGCGATAAGTGAGTCGTGGCCGCCTGTGGGAGGTGGTGGCCTGGGCGAGGGCCTGGCTCGGGAGACGGCCAAGGCGCTGGGAATGAGAGTGCGCCGCGTGTGAGGCCGTGATTCCTGCCAGGGGCTCACGCAACACACACACGCACACACCGCACCACACACCTCTCCTCCCCCACCCCCCAGTCATAGCTTAGTGCCCGCAGAGCGGAGCCAAACCCTGGCGCCGCAGGTGGCGGGGAGAATGCCACCCGCCTGTGCCCTGGGAACGCAGCACCTGACAGGAACCTGTGGCTCACCAGTGTGCCCTCTGCGCTGAGCAAAACTGGCCAAACAGGGTCAGCCGGGGCACTTAGAGAAGTCTCTGCTCGCTGCCAGGAGCGATAAGCTTCCGCCCTGGTCCAGGCCGCCCTTGTCTGTGGCCGGGGAGTTGACCCGGTTCAGCTCCCTGTGCTGAGGCGGTGCTGGTGCTGGTGCTGCCGGTCAGGCCCCCAGCAGGCGGCTGCAAACGCTGGATGACGCCCTCCCTCCAGGCCCCTTCCAGTCTGACTCCCCGCACCCCCTTCCAGCTCACGGCCTTGCTCAGGAGCCCCAGCCCCTGCCAGCCCGGCAGCACTTGCTCTCACCTTCCCCGCGCTCCAGAACGTCCAGCCTCCCGCCCCTGGGGGTGTGTTTTCTGCCACGCGGGAGGCACCCCTTCCGCGCCCTCACAGCCAGAGCGGCCCGGCCTTCAGCTCTCGACTCCAGGGCCACCTCTGCCAGCGCCTTGCGATCCTCTTCAGCTGGGCGCCATCACGCCCCTGAGACTGCCCTTGGGAAACAGTTCTACGCGACATGTGGCATTTTAATGTGGCCATTTTGGCACCAGGGACATTTTGACATGGCTATTTTGATGCAGCCTCAGAAAACGAAACTTTGAATGTTCTTTTTACACAATCATTTATTAAGTGCTAGTCGAGCTCCTGCTCTGTGCCAGACACTTCGCTGTGGTATTTGTTCTGCGAGTGGAGAAAGACATAAAACAAAGGGTCACCTAAGTGAGTGCCCAAGCGCAGACTGTGACAGGGGCTACGGACAGGAGAACAGACATTCATGAAGCAAGAGAGTGATCTCGACCTGGGCTAGACCAGGGAGGCTGAAAATCCCCCCAAGAAAATGACACTTGGGCTGGAATGGGACAGGAGTCAACATTAACTTGGTAGAGAGTGGAAGAGCAGGGGGACCAGCATGTGCAAAGGCTCACAGTAGGGGTCACTTTGATGTCTTCAGGGAACATAAGGAGCCTGAGTTGCTGCTGCCCAATGAGGAGTGGACAGTGTGGTGTGGGAGGAGGTAGAGAAATTGGCAGAGGTCAGGCCCTTCGGGGTCTTCGGGGCTTGGCTGGGGGTGTGGTTCCTATTCAAGTTGTATTGGGGGCCGCTGTAGTGTCTTTAAACAGAATAGAGACATAATCTGATCTGTGTTTGACACTCTGGCTGCCATGCAATGGAGGGGGGCAGGAGAGACAGGCCCGGGGGGCCTGAAGGACATGCAGTGACGGTGGAGACGGTGAGAAGGGGTTGGATTTAGACTGTATTTTGGAAGTAGATCGAATAGGTTTTGAAGAAAGATTGGCAGTTAGGACAGAGTGACATAAACGCAAGACTGATTCCCAGTTCTGGCCACCCAGAGCACTTGATGTGAACTCTGACCCCTGGGGGAGGCTCAGGGGTGAGGCAAAAGATGGGGGGTAGCTAGGGATAAATTAAGGGGCATCTATAGAGTGAAGGATTATGATAATGCCAGTGTTTCGAGTTGGCTGCTTTGTATTTAACATGATGCGTTTATGGTTTATTTCTCCCATTATGCTCCACACACATTCGACTTAGTGCAAAAGAGAAAGTAAAAAGACTTCTCGAGTTGTGTCAGTCTAATGTGATTTCTCAGCTAGCATGTTGGCTGAGGGAGTGAAGGGCTCTGGGGCCAGTGGCACATTTGGCCGCCCGGAGACATGTAGGGCCATGGGGACAGAGCAAGGCTAAATACACTAGACAGGGTTCCGAATCCTGACGTCTGAGGTGCACGCTCGAGCAGCTGGAATATCTGATTGGCCAGAAGAGGCCATTCTCCAGGAAAAGAGGGTTCACCGACATGCTGGGGAGTTTTGAAAGGAGAAGCAGGAGGAGGTGGAGGGGGTCTCCAGGCACAGCGTTGGGAGGATAAGGTGGCGTGGCCTCCTTCCGAGCGTTTTAAGTGAGGAAGTAGGCACAGCCAGCATCTGGAAAGGATTTTCTCAGTCCTCACATGATCTCCCTTCCCCTAGCCGCTGTATGTGTCCTGCTGAGAATCCTGGCTGCAGAGACCAGCCCTTCACCATCCTGTACCGGGACATGGACGTGGTGTCCGCACGCTCCGTTCCTGCTGACATCTTCCAGATGCAAGCGACGACCCGCTATCCCGGAGCTTATTACATTTTCCAGATCAAGTCTGGGAATGAGGGCCGAGAGTTCTACATGCGGGTAAGAGGGGTGGCGAGTGACGGCCACCACCTAAACAATGCCTGTGTCGTCTAGCCAGGCGTGTGCTTCTCGAAACAGGTCTGCGGACAGCGAGGACAGGCGGGTGTGGAAAGAGAAGAGGGGCGTGGGTGGGAGTCAGAACTCAAGATTCTGGTCCCGTCACTTTCTGTGTGGCCTTGGGAAGGCTTCCGAGAGCCCCAAGATCTTTCTTTCCCGTGAGAAGTTAGGCTAAGTGCAGTCATAGGTCTCGTTCCTCCTGTGGTTCCATGGGGAAGGCATTCACACAACCATCTGTCCACCCACTCACTTCACAAATATTTATCCATTAGCCACTAAGCTCCATCTAGAAACTGAAACTGTAGCAGTGAAAAAAACACCCCAAATCCCTGCCTCATGCCACTGACATCGCAGGAATGTGAAGGCTGGCATACGAGCCACAGAAATACCCTCTACCTGCGCTGTCCAACCCATGGCCATCGTGACGCTTTACTTTTAAATGAATTTAAATGAAATGCAGTTAAAAGCTAGGTTCTTCCATGGCACTAGCCATATTTCAGGTGTTCAGTAGCTGCATGCGGCTGCTGTGTTAGCTCGGCTAGAGAGCACTTCTGTGGCTGGGAGTCGGATTGGACAGCACTGGCATCCGTAACAGTCAACAATCTCAGAGCACACATCCCCAGACATCTCTGCCTGTCTGTTAATTACATCCATGTAATCCTGTTTATATTATTGAGCTTCATCTCCTCCACCCTCTGGGGTGTTCACACTTCTTTAGAGACCGCTGGCTTAGAGAGATGTTTTTCACATCTCAGTGTGAATTTGGGCACTTGTGCAGAGGACCCCAGAGCTTCCTCTCTAGAGAATCTATTCCAGCAGATGACGTCTGTCAGTTTGCTGCGACCACTGTAACAGATTATCACAAACTTGGTGGCTTAAGACAACAGAAACTGATTCTGCTCAGTTCTGGGAGCCAAAAATCTGAAATCATTTTGACTGGACTGCAGTCAAGGTGTTGGCAGAGCCACGCTCCCTCTGGAAGCTCTGGGGGAGAGGCCGTGCCTGTCTTCCAGCGCCTGGTGGCTGCCAGCATTTCCTGACTTATGGCCACATCACTCCAATCTCTGCCGCCGCCTCTTCTGTGTCTTTCAAATCACTCTCTGTCTATCTTTCAAGTGACACTTGCAATTGGATTTAGAGCACACCCAGGTGATCCAGGGTAATCTCCCCAAGTGACGATCCTTAACCTAATAGCACCTGCGAAACTCCCTTCTCCTTATAACATTTACAGGTTCTAGGGACTAAGTTCTGATGTCTTTGGGGTCTTTGTTCAGCCTCCTCCACCTAGGGATCTGAGCATTGCAGCCCAGTTAAGCATGTGGTCCTGTCACAGGGTCCCTGTGGGGAGCTGTACTCAGAAGCATAGATCCCTGAAGCTCACCCTTTTGGGGGAGATGCCCCAGTGCCTGTGAATGAATGGGCCACACATCTGAGCTCTCTATTCCTGGTAGAAGCTTCCAGTCCTTGCCTCTGGAGCTGGGACTGTCTACAAATTGGTAGGTCTGAGAAGTGGTGGTTAGAGCAGATTAGAAAAAGCCCCAGGGACTGATAATGTGCCTGTGTCCTCACTAACATGTTTTTGGCAAGACCTTAAAGGGACCAGGGCACATGATAACATGACCCGTGAACCAGTGTGTTAGGGGTAAGGGTTTTGGAAGAAGGTAGAATGATTGGAGGGAAGAGTAACTTCTGCAAATCAGAAAGAAGAACCTGTGTTTACGTCTATCTTTTCTCATACCCACACGCAACAGCTGTGCAGCAGAAACCCATATCTGTGAGCCTCTGTGGGCTGGCTGCCCTTGGAAGCAGAAGTCTAGCCCACTGGCCTTCTCCCATCTCGCCTCTCTCATCCTCAGTACAGACGCAGCGCGTCCCACTCACAGGGCACAATAATGTCACTCTTGGGGACTTAAAACGCCATCACTCATATCACCTGCCTCTGATTTCCCCCAGCAGAATGGAAGATTTGTCTGGGTGAGATTTCATGCCTCTGGTCACCATAGACTAGACCCAAATGTTCCCCCATGGGGCTGACTTGCAAGAGGTACCCGGGGATGGAGGGAAAAGGTCCAGGTGGAGTGAACAGGAGGGAGACCTCTTCTGGAGGCTTCTCCTGATGCTCAGATTTTCACAGTAACGAGGGGACCCTTGAACTCACAAAGCTGAGCTGAAGGTAGCTTGTTCTCTGAGAACATTGCGAAGGGCCTGGTTTCTTTAGTATTTATTCAGAGGAAGATGTCAGGGTGCCCAGGCGGGGAGGGGACGCAGGCATGGCTGAAGGAACGCAGGGCCCTGGCTTAAAGGTTCTCAAGAGCTGCTGCTCAGAAGAGAACCCAGAGTTGGGGTAGGGGTCTTGTGAAGCCACGGGCACTGGGGCAGGAAGACAGGACTCTGCCCCACGAGGCAGGCTTACGAGGCCAGCTGTGCGCGGCTACAGCGCGCTCCTCAGGACGCCACTCAGTCATTCCGACATGGCTCTGGAGCTGGCCGACCTGCTCCTCTGCCCCAACAGCCTGCCCACCGACCCTGAGCCTCAGCTTCCTCCCCTGTAGCGTGGGGACAATAACAGCGCTTACCGGAGGGTTAGCGCAGCCCTGGAACGCAGAACGCCTCTTTTCATCACGCTTGCAGAATATGGCAGGGCCGAACATTCAGTGACTTGCCTTTTCTCACCTGTCATCTCACACCGGAGCACCCTGGCTGACATCTCAGGCCGATTCCATCGATTTCACAGGCATATTCAATTACTGTTAAATTGTCTTATTTTCCGTATCAAGAGTCTGGGCTGGTTTAGTGGAACTTCAGTCCCTCCATCTCTCATTCGGCCTGGGGGTCACCCCTCCCCCATTCAGAGGTGGGACGGGTGGTTGGCCTCTGTGCCGCCTGCCTTGTCCCCTCCAGGAGAATGCTGTCCTGGGCTCTCCCTCCGGAGCGGAAGGGGAGAGGCCCTACTCGTTGCTGTTGTAAGCGGGTGCCGGGGCTCGCTCTGTGGCACAGACCTAAATGCGCTCACTCTTTCATGGGGCATTTGGTGGGTTCTTTGGAGGTTTCCCTGAGGACTGTGCCGACCACTCCCTGGTGTTCAGGTCTTCCACTTGCCCCCCCCACCCCCGTTTCTGGTGCCAGGTCCTGCATAGATATTCCGTGGCAGTGGAGGATCCCCCATGAGGCCCCCAGGACTCCATCACCCAGTTTCCCTGTAGCCCCCAGTTGTCACCATGGGGAGGCTGCTCTGAGCTTTCCTCTAGACTTCTCCAGAAGAGAGTGCAGTACCACGTTCTGCTTTCTTTAATCACCAGGGCACACACAGCTCTGAGCGGCTCTGTCGAAGCCCTGCCGCTTGCAGCGGGGCTGGTGCTTGCGTTGCCACACGCCTGCAGGCCGGCGGCGGAGACAGAGACGCATCCTTTGGGCTGCCACTTTGTGGGTCCCATGGGACGCTGCCGTGACTGCTCACGGCCACAGCAGAAATCCTCCCTGTGCCCGTCGTGGGCCATGCAGGGCGCCAGCTGCTTTCCATACCCCACTTCATCCTCACAGTGTGTGGGGATGCGCATGCGGAGCCCCAAAGCACAAGGAAGCTCAGTAACTTACCCATGATCGTGACCTCACAGCCAGGGGTCCCCAGGGCAGGACTCAAACCCAGACAGTCCAGCACATTCTCATGAGGAGGTGGGAGTATTTTCACTTACTCCAGCTTTGGGACCGCCGCAGAAATTGAGACAACGCAGAAAGCCCACTGTACCCTCGAGGGACAGTGAGCAGGAGTCACCATTGTCATGACAGTGTTGCTCCTGCAGCTACTGCTGCTGCGGTGACTTTCGTTAGGGGCATGTGAGCTCGTGGGCCCTGGAGGGACCCGCGGAGGTGCCCGAGGCACTGGGCAGCGTGAGGTCGGGCTTGATGGGTGATCAGGTATCTCCCTCCCTGACACTCACTGGTTGTATTACACGCGCTTGAGCGCTTCATCTCACCTGGGAAGCAAACCACATGTGTGCACACACACGGGGCACACCCATGCACGGGCGCATACACACTTGGGTGCACACATGTCCCTTTCACAAGCCCTGTTGGCAGTCTGTCCCACACCGATCCCCGGACAGAGGACTGGTGATGGGTCTTGGCCAGGTGACGCGGGGGTGCAGTCTGGGTGAGAAGAAGGTGCACAGCCAGGGGGTTCAGAGTGTGCCAAAGCACACTGACTCCATGACCCACTCAGATTGTGTGACAGGCCCGGGAGAAGGCGACTTGCTATAGCCTGGCTGCTCGCCACGTGTCAGACAATGCCGTCTCACAGCCGATTCAGAACAGACCTGAGTGTATGGGAGCGGGGTTGGGAGGCACACCCCGGGGGGCTTTGCAGCCTGTTCCTGCTGCATCAGCTGCACCAGCGTTCAGCCACAGGCTCCCAGTATATTCACTGAGCACCAGAATATATGTGGCTTTAAGTCAGGACTGAGAATTCAGAAACAAACAGGATGTGGCCTCTGACTCTGAGGAGCCCTCACAACAGTGGGGAGGGCGGGGCAAACAGCCTGGCAAGCATTGACAGTCCAGTATGAGTGGTGGACCGTCCGGAGGTTGGCGGGTGCTGACTTTGTAGCGCAGGGTGCCGGGAGCGTGTGTTCAGGAGTCAGATGCTCTAGTGCCTTAACCTGTTTATGCAGATTAAATAAGATGTTTAAAAGGTGATAGTTAAAGGCCTGTTACCATAACCACCACCACTGTCATCGCCATCATCATCATTTTGCACTGGCCCGAAGCCCACAGGTGACCAGGGCCTGTCAGAGTCTGATTTCATGAATGTCCTCACCCAGCCCTGGAAGCCTGCAGAAGAGTGGAGGTGGCTGCCCTCCTGTCCTGGCAGCCAGGTGCTGTGCGCAGACCTTTCTCAGCCAACTGCAGGTCTGGCCCTGGTGGGAACCAAACTCATTCACTTCTAAGGTTACTTCTGAACGGCAGAGGTGACTCTTCTCACACTCTGGAGACCTTCCAGGAGAGCCCAAAGGAACAGTGTGGGAGTTTACGGTTCGGTTCCCCATCCTGCAGCTCTCCCTCCAGAGGACTCCCCAGAGCTCAGCACCCTCAACCCTTCGCCTCTGTTCACACAAACAGTGAAAGCTGGTGACATATTTGTATTTGTAAATGCTGGAGGCGTTTCCCTGTGTGGCTGTACCTTCTGAAGTCCTGGCCGGGCCTCCGAGGTTTTGCAAGAGTTGATAAGGAAGTCCTGGCGATCCTCTGCGTGAATAGATGCCAATTACGCTGATGCTGACGGGAACACGGGGAGCTGATGCCAAGAGGAAGTTGTGTGGCTTTCAGGCTGCTGTTAGCTGGGTGGACAGTGGAGGCCCTAGTACCTGGCTGGCACCTGATAGCCCCACCCTTGACATGCCTGTGGCAGCTCTTGGGGATATACAGAATTTTATGAGTTGCCCTCTCTTTATGGAGACAGATAAAATATCTGGTGTGGCTTTAAATGGGCACGGTGCTGGACTCTGCAGCTTGTAGGAAACTTGTCCAGCACATCTGAGCCCCTCCTGCTATTTCCTCTGCAGGTGCCCACTCTCTGGCCATGGCACTGGCCTGCAGCCATCTCTCCTAGAGGGCACTGCTAGGGAGGAGAAGTAAAACACATCCCAGTCTACTTGTGCGGTGGGGTTGGGGTCAGAATGGAATCCCTTGGCTCTGCCCCTGCCTAGTCAAGTGACCCTAAGCAATGACCTACCCTCCCTGGGCTTTACTTTGCTTATTTTTAAATCAGCATATTTATATGCTCTTGGGACACATGTCAGGATGGACAGTGGGCAGGCTCCTGGCCGTGGGCCTGTGCTTTCAGATCAGCTTCTTAATTCCTACACTGCCCGCAGATCACCTTGTGTTAAGCCACAGATTCTGACTCAGTAGGTTTTAGGTGGGGCTTGGGGTCCTGCATTTCTAGCAGGCTCCCTGGTGATACCGATGCTGCTGATCCTGCGGCCACATTGTGAGGAGCAGAGCCTTTCGGGGTTTTTATGCAGTTTAAATAAGCACGTGTGTGTAAGTGTAGCCACACTTACGAGAGCGCCTGTCCGGCATAGGCGATGCTCAGTGGAGGTCAGTTCCCTCTCCCTGCCGCCCCCAAAGTTTTAGAAGAGATTCAGTGGAGGGGAAAATGAAGTTATTAGGGCCACAGTGATGGCCCTACTACTGCACAGAGTAGTGAAGCTGGAGGTGACTACACGCCCAGGCATACCTGAGAAATCGCTGAAGCAGAAAATCCTGGAGTGGCCCCTGGAATTGTTGCTTTAAAAACAACAGGTGCCCCAGGTGCTTTGCAGGCTGTTTACTTGGAAATCACTGATCAAGAACAAACCCTCGTTTCAGAGAAGGGGCCCTGGGAGGTGAAGGTGAGAGCTGAGCCCCACAGCTGGGCCAGCCAGTTATCCATTCTTGTGTTCAGACAGGCTTTCTGAACACCCACTGTGTGCCAGGCACTATGCTGGGTTTTGGCGGATACATTGATGAAAAACCTGACCCTGGTCCTTGCTCTCGTGGATCTCCAGGTCTCGTGGAGACCTAGACATCAGAACTCTGCCAAGCACTAGTGCAGACAATGCCACATGTCCTTGAATGCTTTCCATCCTGTGCAATGACAAAGGGTCATGGGGGGACCCCACTTAGTTTGGGGAAATCAGGGAGGACTCCTCTGAGGAAGTGACATTTCAGTTGGACCTGAAAGGTTAGCAGGAAAGAGCCGGTAGAGCATGGGGTCCAGGAGAGGGGGTTCGGGGGGGTATGGTAGCAGCATGGGGGTGCCTGTTTGACTCTAAGAGGAGTGCCTGATTGAAGCTATAGAGGTCCACTGTGGCCAGGCCAGTGCACCATCTACTTTGGTGATTGTGGGAGAGCCCGCATCTGGCCTGCTCCCCTGACCACCTCAGCTGTTGCTCCACAGCCTCTGGGGTCACACCCCTTAAGTGGGCCTGGGCCAGACCTTCTCTAACTGGTGTCCCCGGTTCTGTCTGCAGCAAACGGGCCCCATCAGTGCCACCCTGGTGATGACGCGCCCCATCAAAGGGCCCCGGGAGATGCAGCTGGACTTGGAAATGATCACCGTCAACACCGTCATCAACTTCAGAGGCAGCTCCGTGATCCGACTGCGGATATACGTGTCGCAGTACCCGTTCTAAGCCCGGGCTGGAGCCTCTGACGCTGCCGCTCACGGCACCAGGGACAGGAGCGAAGAGACGAGACGGAGTTGAGACGGTCGCGATGCCTTTCCTGCTGAATGATTCCCCCGGAGCCAGCCCCGCCGGCCTGCCCCCCGCCTGCGCTGTGCAGACCTGTCGTTCTGAAGGACGGACTGCCCCCAGTGCCTGCGACGCAGTCACCGAAAAGTGTTGTCATTGGCACCTTGACCAGAGATCAGGGGAGATTTTTCAAGGTCATCAGATTATTTGCATATTTTCCAAAGGAAATAGATTAGGATGGCTGGGGTGTGAGTCCATGTTCAAAGACTGTGAACGGCTTCCTCTCCCTCTTCCACACTCTCTCTCTACCTACCCCCAACCCCCCACCCCTCCAGCCCCCCCACCCCCCACCCCTTGCTGATTGCTGCTTTGCAAAGGCCCAATGAGTCTTGGGGACGCTGGGTGTAGCTAGTTTGCTTCTTGTATGTACTGAGAAGGTTATGGGAAGAAACCACAGCAGGATCTAAGGGTTTTTAAAGAATCTATTTCAAAATCACATCTGGTATTTTCAGTCATAAAAGGAGTTTTAGTTGTCCTTAAGTTTGTATAACTGTTTAATCCTTTCTTGTTCATTTTGAGTATTTTTTTTTAAATAATACCTTCAAAAGTTCTTAAGACACATGCTATGTTCTGTCTTCCCAACTGTCAACCCAGTTTCCTCTTCATTTTAGCCAATGTCTCCTCTGAGGACGCCTTAATCATGCTTTCATTAGCAATTTTACCCAACTGGGTTGGAAGGCAGCGGTCTCCAAACTGATTAAATATTTGAAGAGATTTTGTGTTTGGTTCATTTTGCCATCTCTTTACAGCCTCTGGGGCTCGTTCTCGTTTTCTTTCAACATGGTTATTGTGCACCAGCCTGGAAAACGCTCCAGGAACGCAGCCATCATTTATAACTCAGGCAAATGATGGGAAGAAGGGGACAGAACTGGGGGTGGAGTCAGAGGGAGGCGTCTATCCTGAATCTGATTTCATTCTATGAGGCCACGGCCACCAGTCCCTCTGGCGCGGGTGATTCCCGGGGACTCGTTCAGCTCAGGGTTGGTGCAGGATACCCTGACGGCGGCGAAGCCTCGTTAGTACATTTCTCAGAGAAAAACATATTTCCTGGGCCCTCCCCTGTGGAGATTCTACTTGCGTTGCTCTGAAGTAGAGTACAGGCCTTGGGATTTCTGAAACCCTGATCAGTAGCTGAAGCTGAGAACACACCGTTGCAAACCCTGTAAAGAGCGGGGCACAGGCGTCGCCCCAGCGTGGCCGCCTCGCCCTCAGCATCTTTCCCATTAGAGATTCATTATCCTCTCTCTGATCCACATGTCCTTCAAGTCTTAGGACTCCGGGCAGGAGTAGAGACACAAGTCACAGACAGGAGGGGGGCGGGAGGGTGCGGCTTCTGTTGTGCCTCACCCAGAGTCAACCTCAGGCTTCAGCAGGAGGAGCAGGCGTCTTCGGGGTGCATCCCTGGGCGCTCCCGGTACACCTGCCGGGGAGACATTCATCACAGGCCAAGTGCGTGGAAGGAACTGCGCCCTGGGTTCCGGGGATGCTGGGGTTCTTTTGACCCTTAATAACGGCTGCTTCTGGGCAGGAAGTGGCATGTCCTGCTCCCTCACCCAGAGACCGTTTCTCACACTCACGCCCCACACTAATTTTCCTCTTGGCCGTGGTTGTTTTTTCTGTAAAATGAATCACACTGTGCCCTTCTATCAGGGTCAAGGGATGTCAATGTTTTCACAACGCCAGTGGCTCAGCACACGCTGCCTTCACAGCCCAGAAAAGAAAAGAGACCCCGACCAGGCCGCGGCGGGGCAGCCCCAGCTCAGCTCTCTGTGGAGGGAAGAGAAGGCGCTGGCGGGCTCCCCTGGCCTGGCGAGGCTGAGGGATCAGGAGTGGGTGTGGCCTCAGACATTCAGAAGCTGAGGGACCGAGCTCCGTCAGAGCCCGAGTCACCACCAGCCCCGGCTCAACCCGCTCTAAGGTAAGGTTTCCTTGCATTTCTGAAAACCAAGGAAGGGAAGCTTTGTCGTGGTGATTTGGGACCCACTGGTTTCAAAGGTGCCACATCTGGAAGCAGACCCGCGTCTTCTGGGCCTTGCATTTTGTCCTTGTCAAAATGTGGCTTCCTGCTTCTTAAAAAAAAAAAAAAAAAAAAAAAAAAAGCACAGAGAGACTCGTAAAAGCGGCTCAAAGGGCTTCTTGGACCTCAGCTTGCTCTTTCCAAACACGGTCTGATGAGTTCAGTGTAAATGAATCAGAAGCATGTGGGATCAATTTACCTTAAAATACACTTGGGCCTAAAAATTAAAGGAAAAACGCCCTGGGGCAAAGCGTATACTATAAGGCCAAACCCCACACATTTGGGAAAGCGTTCCAGAGTGTCCCAGAACCCGAAAAACTCTTTGCTTCACCCACCCCTAGGAAATAGTTGGGTGTTGTTATTTTCACAAGCTGGAGGAGGGGGGGCAAGTCACCTCTGTGATCACAACGTTGTGCTGTGCTGGAGTCTGATGGGGCTGGGCTCGCTGGGCCTCCGACCCCGAGACAGCTGGGCTCTCTGTGCCTGTCCCTGTCAGCTTTGCCACCTTCCGACCTGGGCACACAGCTTGTCACAGAACCCTGTCCTACCACCGCGGCAGGTCCGATGAAGGAAGGATTCGGTGGTGGATGGGGTGCTGGATTAAAAACCCAGGTGCCTGCAAAAATCCTGTGTTAGCACCTTATATTCTGGGTTCATGGTCAATGAAAATGTCTGTTCAGCTCCCTCTAATTCTAAAGCTTTGTGATTCCTTGAAATGTGCTTTGGGGATACCAGCCAGCATGGCCATTACAGTGCAATTTTAGAGTTTCCCAGCGGCTTGCCAAGCATAACACCCTCCTTGGCACAGAAACTGCCTACCTGGTACCTCGGCCTGTGTAACATACTTAGAAATGTGCTAGGTAACTGTCATGGCTCTTGGGTGTTATTTTTCCAGATGGTGAGAACATTTCAGCAGGTCTGATTACTTCATGCTCAGCGCCTTGAATGTATTCCTGGCCTGAGTGTTTACTGTTCTGTGCAGATTCTTCATCCTGAGCCCAGAGGGTCCTCCCGAGGGAGATGACAGGACAAAGGAGCAACTATTCTTTATTCTTCTGTCCCCCTATGAAGTCTTGTTTGTAAGCGTTTTGATCTTACAGAGGCGATGTGCTGTGCTTGTGCACCCACTCACCCACCCGACTTCGGTTGAGTCATTTTCTGAATTCAGAACAAGATACGGTATAATCCACTGCTGAAATATTTATTCAAGGCTTATGCAGCCTATGAGTCAAAACTGGAATAGAAAATAATGGGGCAATGTAGCAGCATGGACAAAATGACTGTGGACAGATTTTAATTACTCTGAAACCGTATCCGTTCTATCCAACAGAAGTTCTTTTGAACACCCGTACTTGACATGTAGAATAAGGTGCCTCTGCTTAGTATTTTACATACATGTAAGGAAAACAAAATCAGCCTAAAATGAAAGTTTTCTTGCTTTTGGATCCAACATGCACTTTGAAATACAATATTTTCTAGGGGAAAAAGGGCAAACATTTAGTAAAGTTCTTCATTCTTTTGAAATTGGCCAACGCCAGTGTGGCCGGGGGCTACAGGTACACAGAACACTGCTCCCTGTTGATATTTTTGTTCTCAAATCTCTTAGTGCTGGGGTCTTCATGAGAATCTCTGGGATTTTTGTTTTTTAAATAACCAAGAGGCTCTAGGACAAAGGAAGTACACAGAGATAAGTTTTATCACTTTGGTGCAACTGTTGTGCTGACGGCCTCCAGTTAGAATCTGGTTAGAATCCGGTGAGCAGTCTGGTTTACTAATGCTTCCTAATAATGAGTCCTCTCCAGTAGCCATCACTTAAATAAACCATTAGGGTGAGAAAAATAGGTGTCAACTCGGGAACCATCTATTAAATCACTGTCGTTGTTAGAGGGCTGTTACGTCTGCAGAAGGTGATTCACAGCAATTTTGCCCGGAATCTGGAATATTCTGGAGCAATAATACAAAGCAGAGGCAATCTACACTGTATATAGATGCAAACACGGAGGCCATCATGATACCTATTTATCAAGATTTGAGAGATTATTGATTAATACTGACTGGAGGCCAGGTTGATGCGTAGGTGGATGCTATATAAAAGTAATTTTTGTTTGGGGAGAATTGTTTCGGTATCCACCTAGTGTTTTTTCTAATTCTTACTATCCAACTTTCTACTCAAAATGCGTTCGGTGTTGCAAAACTGGCTTCTATCATACTTTTAAACAGGTGCCTCGAATTCTCAATTTTAACACACAAACCATTTATACTGTATCCTTAAAGAGGAGTGAGGATTGCTGTTACATTCGTGAATGTTCTCCATCCCCTGCTCTTAAAAATTTTACCAAAAAAAGTCATCATTGAAGCCAAGCGGTGGTATTTGCAAGTAACTTCGCTCTTTACCATGATCTACAGTCTTACATTGTTGCTTTGTCTTTCTTGGTTTTGTTTTCATCCAGTTCCACATTTGTAAAGACTCCCTGGAGATTTCCACCCCAAGCCTGGCATTTCCACTTAGCCTCTTGCCTGTCTTTCTGAAAAGCAGCCCCATGAATCCATACCACTGCTGCATGTTCATGTGCAAAAGCACTGTTGAAATCAGTCTACTTTTGCAGTGAAACCCGGGAGAGTCATGATGATCCTTTCAGTTTAGAATTTATGTACATTTGGAAATAAATAAACTTAAAAAAAAAAAAAAAGCCGGGACTGGACACAAGCAGGTGCTGAAGAGCTTCCAGGTGAAGTGCAAGATGGGGGACAACAGGACACACCCAGGGGAGCAGGCTCTTCATTTGGAGCCAATGTAGAGGTGCAGCAGGCCCTGGGAGGAAAGCAAGTGGCTCCTTCAGCAGCCCTGAGCCAGGACTCCAACACTCAGCCAATAAATACTCAGCTTCTCACACTCATTCCCTCTAGTTGCGTATGTCCATCTTGGGAAATCAGCTCAAGCTGCTCTTGTTCTTAATTTTCACCAGATTTCCTGCAGCCCCGCTTCTTTGTTGGTTCTTCAGCAACCTGCTGAAGGCCCACGTGGGAAAGAGAGGATGAGCTGGAGATGGAGCTGGCTCTCCTATTCCTCCCACCCTCGGGGCTGAACTGCTTCCTTGCTTTACTTTTGAATAAGGTCTGGAGCTTGGGAGCTTGGGGAAAGCCCCAGCACTCTGCTGCTTGCTCCTTTTGTTTCCCTCCTTTCCTTTCTTTTCTTGGCTTTGTTCCTTCTCTGCCTCATCCCCACCCAGCTCCATCCTGACGTTGGATTAGAGGT